TGTTAAAAAATTACTGTTCATCTTCTGAAGCTTTGAGAATCTGTGCAGGCTAATGTTGAAAAAATTACTGTTCATCTAGTATAGCTGAGAATTTCATCTTTGAAAGTTATTCAAAACTTCTATAGGCTAATGTTAATAGTTGTTTGGTTTAATCAATACTCCTTAATAATAGTCGTTCTGAAAATCCCGGTGCATTAGAATTTGGTTTAGATGTTTTTTAATTTATTGTAGTTCAAGTAACACTTCTTTTATATCCTTAAGGTTGCTGTTCTTGTCTTTCATATCTGAGTTTCCAGTTGTTTAATTGTTTCATTGACAAGTTGACTCTTTTAGTGATTCTGATCAGACATCTTGGGTAGGAAATTCCAACATTGGTTATTCTACCTTATTGGGTTACGGTGACTTTTATTAAGGTAATAACGAAATTCTACATGTTAATGTTGACTTGATCATATTCTTATCTTTTTACTTGATCCTTGATATCTTCAATAGGATAAGAATAGTCGGCTGCGCCATGTTTCCCACATTCTAAAAGATCAAGGATTTTTGGAGTGAATAGGAAATGTTTCTCTTGGATAAAATGGTGTAATAACTATGCTTATCCCGGAAAGCATGTAGCCACTTTTTTTTTGTGGAGAGGCAACTAAGATATAGTCGTCAAGAGCACTATAATTTGCTCTTTTATGGAAGTACTTCCATCTTCCTGTAAAATATCATTCAAGAAAAGTTACCTCAGCAATCTTGTAAAGTCAGGTCTGCATTCCATCCGATCTGCCATAATCAACTCCTAAAATTTGAGATGGGAAATGGGTCATATTGGCTTAATTTGGGAGGGAGGAAGTCTGACCTGATTTGGCTGGTTTGAACCAGATTTTAGGTTGATTTTGTCATATTCCAAAGATCTGGGGCCATCCCTAGGCAGTTTCTGCTTGATTCTTGGCCAATGTTGTCAATCCAACCTGACCATCTAATCCAGTGTTTTCAGTCCAGTCCCGGTCCCCATTTCTGATGTCGATGCCATCATGCTTTTGTTTAACTGCATCTTTTGTGGCTGAAACATGATTGTAACATATCTTACTGTCGTGCTTCATGTTATTTTTACTTAACCAGGCTCTTTGTAGTGGTTATATACCATTATGGACATGCTTCCATAAGTATGAAATATATTCTGTATTATCTCTTGTTCTCATCACTTGTTCAAGACATTTTTAAAAGGCTGTTTTTTACTTCCTGCAAGATGAACTGTGTGCACTTGGAGAATTGCCTACATGAAGCAAGAGAAGATGCCCATACTAATCTATGTGCTGCTGATAGAAGGGCCTCGGAATATAATGCCTTGCGTTTAAAAGCAGTGAAGATGCACAGTTTATTTGAACGGTTTCGCAGTTGTGTTACATCTGGTGCTGCGGTTAGTTTTGCAGACTCATTCCGATCTTTGGCTCTGTCGCTTGCCAGGTATCTTTTGATAATTGAATTACCATTGTTGACAATATCCCCTTTGATCGTGTTTCATGTCTGATTATTTCAGTTGTGCCAGTGTGATATTTGTGATTGTTTCTGGATGGCCATTGAATTTACTATCTGAAAAGCACGTTGCATAGTAAATCTTTATCCTCTTATTAGTAATTGCTAGGTCAACCTCACCTTTATTTAAACACATGATACTCAAATCTCGCATCCTTTTCTGGGTGCCCTGAGGGCTCTTTGTACATATTGTCTTAGTAGACCTATTGGATTTTGTTGTGTTTGTCGTTTGTATTTAACCTTTATATGGATAGTTCAACTCTGACCAATGATTTAAAAAGCGTTAGGCGCCAAAGTCCCAAAACGCCCAAGGCGAGCGAAGCGAGACGCTTTGAAATATTAAAATATAAAAAATATAATTATTGAAACAAAAATATAATATTAAATTAAAAATATTTTGTTAACTGTATATTATATAAGTTAGAGGGGGCGAAAAAAATATTCTCTGAAATATAAAAATATATAATATAAATAAAATATAATTATTTAAATTAAAAATATGATATTAAATTTAAAAAATAACTGCTAACAGTATATTACTTAAAGTTAGAGGGGGGAGAAAAAAATGTTAACAGTAACAAAGGGAGATAGCAGTAGCGACAGAGAATTAGTTTAAGATAGTTATGGCAACGCTACGAATGATAGCAGCGGCAGTGGCGAAAGTTATGGCCAGCAACAACGGTAGCGAGGGAAGCTATGGACAGTAGCAATGACAGCGGCGAAAGCTGCGGACAGCAACAACGACAACAGTGAAAGCTGCGGACAACAACGACAACGGCAGAAGCTACGAACAGCAGCAACGACAGTGACAGAAGCTCCAGAGGGTGTTTGTCGGTGGTGGAGGAACTTGCGGTCCTCTCCCTCAACAACGGAAGGAAGCGACAACGGAAGTAAGCTACAAGAGCCGTTGGACTCATCCGTTGACAACAGAGGAAGGCTCAGTCCGCTGCATCTACAGCAAAGGCAGCGGTAGAAAGCGTCAGCGCTAGGGTTCCTCGGGGTCATGCGGGCGTGAAGTGTGGTTTTGAGGTAAGAAACTACGAACCGAACCAGCCTTAAACTGGTTCGGTTCGCCTAATAGAATCGGGCGCTCGCCCAAGTGGCGCCTCATTGAAGGGTGTCTCCTGGTGCACACACGAGGCGCTCGAGCCTCACCTCGCCTCGCCTTGCCCGAGCGCTTAGGCAAGTGTTCGAGTGCCTATTTAAATCACTGGCTCTGACACCTTTGCTACTGTTATAATTACTGATCCTTGTTTTGCATTTTAATGCCACTTTCCTTCAGCTTTGTTTTTAAGTCTTAACTCTCAAAGGGAATTCAAAATTAATCCCTGGATGGCGTTTAAAAATGTTATATAGAGAGTTTGTCTCTTATACTGTTATCATTGGAGGACAAAAACAGGAAAACCTTATCTTTCTATATCCCCTTTGATGATGTATCTTCTATTAAAGCCAACACTTCATCTTAAAATCTGAACCCAGGGCATATAAGTTTTCTAGCATTTGTAGTTGTTATTTGCTGATTTTCCTAGTGACACTTGTATCTATCATCTTGTATGCCTCACGAACAGTTACGAAATAATGTCTTGATTTGGATCTTACCTATCCCATCCATTCATAACTGACTGGTTAACATGATTTTTAGAGCCAGTAGCTTTGTAGCTAGTAATGATTGATTGATTGATTTATAAGAGTTGAATTCGGTTTGTAGTTATAAGGAATCAGTCTTCCGAGGAAGGTTTTAAGTGGACTTAATTGAACAGTCTGGTGAGATTGATTCTTGCGTCAATGCATGCATGGCTTCCACTCCTAATCAAAATTAACTTCTTGTGAATCTAGCATAAAAAAATTTTGTTTCTTTTCAGAATGTTTTCCATTTCCTCTTTTGCAGTTCTCTCAGTGAGGATGAAGATGACTTTACCAGGGATTTCCAAGCATGTATAAAAGTCCTTGCGGACAGGGTAAATTTTTTGTCCCGTCATCGTTCTGATCTCTCGGATCGCTGTTCCAAGGCTGAAGTTGCACAAGTAAACCTTGTGAGAGAGCTGGAAGAGAAGAATGAGCTACTTAAAAGCTTATACAATAAACATCAGTTAGAGAAACAGGTTGGTAGATCATTCCACTAGATCTTTAAAATGGATTGAGAATATGGCATGCTTGATAACATGATGTTCTGCTCTTGATAGCCATGTCATCCTTGATTATCTGTTGGTAACTTGGAAGGATTATTATGTACTTCTATATTTCTATCAGTACTTTACTGGATGACATTTCATTGTTAATTCTAGTAGGTAACTTTTGTCTTCCGCTCATCATGGTGCCTTTGTTAACCAGTCTCAGCTTGTTCTATTTGAATTACTTAGTCTAGATGTGTAGCCAATAGATTACATAATTGCAAGACATGACTTTTCTTCGTCGCCTAGGCCTATCGGGTTACATTTCTTCTCAGGTTGATTTGGTCGGTTCAACTGTTAACATCAATTTAATCATGCCATCATCTTTCTGTAGTCACTGCTTTCTATGTTTTAATTGGACTTGTAATCTATACGTGTGGATTTAACAGGCAAGCAAGGAGAAAATCACTTTTGGTCGCTTTGAAGTTCACGAGCTCGCAGCGTTTGTTCTGAACCCTGCCGGACACTACGAAGCAATCAATCGGAGCTGTCCGAACTACTACCTCTCTGAAGAATCGGTTGCACTGTTCAAAGAACAACATTCCGGGCGACCAGCATACATAATCGGGCAGATCGTGCATATCGAGCGGCGGATCGTGCGGCCACCAGTATCCGTCAGGACTCAGCAAGGAGATCAAGTCGAAGCTTCGACCGGCGAAACTACCAACAACCGACGATCTATAGCACAAGGGGCTGCCTTGAACCCATACAATCTTCCCATCGGCTGTGAATACTTTATAGTGACAATCGCGATGCTACCTAACACCGTTCATTCTACTTCCTGATCTCGCTGCTGGCTGAAGTGAAGGAGGATCAATTGTACAGTGCATAGAATTGACTCTGGTGGGGTATCTTTGTACATATGACCGGTTTCGCACTTTCTTCTGTACATACCAAACTCTTTTATGACGTTATTAGCATGTGAATACATGTATTTTTTTCTTTTTTAAGATTCTGTGGACGTAAGGCTTACGTTTTTTGCATGGATTCATGCATGTGCTTAAAAAATTGACCGTCTGATGGGACGCTGCCAAGAACAGCCGTCTTTTAATCTGAACGCTACTTACTAGCAGTAAAAAGAAACATGTATATCTCTGCTAAATCACAGCGATAGTGGGATACTGTTCATATCTCTGCTAAATCACAATTCGGGCGACGTGGATGTGTTAGTATTGTGCACGAAATTCGAAGCACGTTCTCCACACCTCCATTGATACCCTTTTTTAAGTCGAACCGAGTTATCATTTTTTGCTTCTTGATTTCGATTGGGCGATGAAAATAATTTCACATTAGTAAAAATCTTAATAATAGAAAAAAGACTGATGGATAATTTTCAACGAGATATAAGTACATTTATATGTCTAATGCCCGCAAATAGAGAGTTTCTGTGACATCAAACTTAATAACATGATAAGCAAAAGAATAATCTTACTCAACAACAGGTCTATAGGCCAAATGCAAACATGTTATACGTCGTATCCAAGCATCCATATTAAACTTTCAAGCTGATGCTAAGCTACCAAGAATTTGTTCCCGATACCGACATTAGCAATGACCGGAGTAGCAAGAGATTCTTGAACAATAAGCTGGCTCAAAAGTATCAGTGGACTGGAAGGCCCCCACCGGCGTATTCCACTTCCTGGAGTAATAGTGGTTACTTAAAAGGCATTAGTTAGAAGAAGAACAAGGATCTCTGTTAACACATATTAAATTGATCATTATTTATTGGAAACAGAATGTTGTGGGTGGCAACACATGCATATTAATGCAAGCAGCATAAATGAGCATAAACAGAATGAAGTCGTACCGATGCAGGAGGTAAAGAAGAGACCCAATCTGATGCATGTGTTGGGAGAAGACCCAATGTGTTGAGCTGTCAAACCATGAGAAGAAAAATCACATTCAAGATTCAAATGATTTTTGCGATAGTCTGCACAATTATGGTCATCAAAGTTTTACCTTCCAGATGCCTAGGACCAGCCCAGCCAAGTTAAGAGCAATGAAAAGCAATTTGGGTGCAAGGGTATCTACCCTTGGGTCCTTGTAGGGTTCAAAAACTGCAAGGAGGAACATGGTCATTCCAGAATGCTGTAGAACTTTGAACGTCTTAACTGATGCAAGTTGAGGCAAAACCATGTTGACAAACAAAAACACCATATCTTGTGACAAGCTCATGTGATCCGCAAAGCACAAACACAATATCAACAGTAAAACCAAAAAACGAAATGCATGTCCAATTTCGAAAGAAAGGATAGAACACGTCAAGTAAAAAAAAGAGTGAATCGTATGTATTGATGTAAAAGGCGCCAACTCTAGTTAATTCCTGTGGGCGAAAGACCTAAGGCAATATATTCACACTTCCGACGGTATCAGAAAGAAAGACACGAGGCATTCAAGAGAGATTATTCAAATGATCAGTCAATATCCAAGTAGGAATAGGCTAGAATTTGGAACCAGAACCCTAATTGATCATTGAGGAAAAACCACTGCACCAAAACCCATTGAAAATAGAATAAACTCTGTTGCATCAATTCAGATTGATCACTGTCAAGAAACCAATAATAGCGAGTGGATTACACCTAAGATCATGAACTGGGGAAGCCAGCCTGATCATGACTGGAAAAGAGAGGATTGGTCCCTGTCCCTAAATATTGACTGGATGACAAAACACTTTAGCAGTCCAATCCGGCAGATAACAAACAAATTCCAATAGGAGTAGGAGCTGAGAAAGAACTGCATGAAGTAGGATATCTCATAGTTTTCTCTTGCTCTTTGCTCCTGGCAACTAGATCCAGGAACAAGACAAGGAGAAAGACAAAGAACAGGAGAAGATGAAGGAAAAAAAGAAGCAAGAAGAGAAGGAAGGATAAGTAATAAATGTAGCTAGTCTTCATAGGAAAGATAAGGAATAGCTTCATAGAAGGAAGTTATTAGAATAAAGTGTAGTTGATATATAAGGAGTTAGCGGACATGCTGCATGATATTAAGGGTTTGGATAACTAAGTTCTCATTATGACCTTAAGATTGCTAGAATACGAAAATGAGATCTTTCACCGAGTAAAGAATCATTTGTTTAGAATATGATGCTAAACACAGAAGAATCATCTTCAGCACAGATTAAGAGACCAAGAAAAGGAAACAGGTTAAGCAAGTATTCGGCTGAGGTTTGAGGTGTTATATCAAGGCATTTATGGGGCACAAAGAAATTTCCACAACAGCATTTTCTTCAAAGGAATCAAAGCAATGAATAGACAAGATCACAGTAATATTGGAGATCACTGAGGCCAAGAGTTCCAATACTAGGTGAACAATTTTGGTACTTTAATTTTGGTACTTTATAATTGACATCATGTGCATGTTACTTGAATCTAATCCCACCATTTCTGTTTTCTTTGTTCACTTTTTCTGAGTTTCTGTGTATCAATCTTTTGTTCATGATTTCGGCAGCAATGCCAATCCAACCCATCAAACAAACTAATCTGATTTCAATACCAAAATAATCCCCAGAACAATCCCAATACATCATACAGTGAGCAGGAGATGAAGGAAAAAAGAAAAGAGAGAATGGAGGGACTGAAGGACCAAACATGCAATAAATATAAGAGAGTAAACTGTTAAATATAAAAATAATTAATGTGCAAAGCTGGTTTACAAGCTCGACAACCCCAACCAGCTCTAAAGCAGTATAACTGACTATGTTGCTTACTTGCCAACAGTATGGGTATAGCCTAGCAGTTAGGTTCAATGGCCAATGCCCATCAAGAAAAGTATTAAAATTCCAGGGTAACTTTTGAGGTTTCAACAACAATGAGAAGCTAAATCCAAAATATTTGGGGTCAGCTACATGATCCATTCTCACAATTAAGCTCTATATAGAGAAATGTTACTGGATAAACTAGGGCCCATAGAAAACCCTTTCATTGTTTTCAACAATGACATCAAAAATTTACGTTTATCATTTTCTACATTGACTTATAAGATCTTCCTATGTCTCATATCGCATCACTAACCTGAACTGGCTCACCTGACCTAACTGGTGTATTTATATATCTGTTTTGGGCGAAACACTTTTTAGTATATTTTCCTATTTGGACAAATGTTTTGATTCATAAAGGTATAAAAAGCCACAAATTTATCTTATAAAACCATCCTTCAGAAGTAAGGGTTCTACAACAATCACCACTCTTTTATTTATTATACACATATTAAGAGGTCCTCTTACATTTAGCAGTACAACCAAGATATCAAAAACCTTTAGGGATTCCTGATCCATCTATTTCATCATCATTATTATATATATATATATATATATATATATATATATATATGAAAATACCTTTTCATCCTTGATGTCCTGTACAGTCATTAGAAACTAAAAAAGTTCCTATATTGTATTAATTTTTCCATCCCTGAGTTACTCCTGCGTCCTCTGAGTAGTCAAATGCTAACCAAAAGAGGCGCCAACAGAGGTTTAGGTATGATGTTAATTAGTTTCTTTCACATCCTTATAACAACTCTACAGGACACATTAGGCACAGTTAATGATATAGCTGAAAGATCACACATAAATCATCAATGAGGCCAAGGCCAAGATGCATGTATATCCAATGTGAAATCAGTTTTGTATGCATAACCTTACATCTAATGGGAGAATAACTGAAGAACAAAAAGAATGGTGGCAATTACATACCTTTTCCAACACCTTGAAGAGCGCTTATTGGCTGCCAAAGGGCTGAAAATGTAATGCCGATACTGAACAAATGAACTGTGCTTCCAGCCATCCACATCATAAAACCCATCATCAACAAGTTTTTAACGGGTGCTTGAGCAACTTCCCAAGCTTTCTTCATGCATGAAGAGAGGAGACAAACATGGAACAGATTAAACAGATGGATGTAGAAAAACGATGGCAGCAAACGTAAAAGGACAAAAGGATGCAAGTAATGCAAATTTGACATGAAACAAAAAATAGTAAAAAATTGACCAAGAAACAGTGAAAAGATCCAAGATATTTATCAAGTATCAATTGTAATTTTTATAAAAACAACAATAATTAAGCAGGTTGATAAGTTCAAGATCAGACAATTCCTCCTAATGATGATATACTAAGTAATGTGAAATAGCCATATATACAGCAATATTTTACCATCGAAAACCAGTTATGACCATCAGAAAACATGTATTCTTATTTATGGGCACTGTCTTAGAAATTGACCATCAGAAAGCTAATTCCTAATTCTGTAAAATGTAGCGGGAAATACTGCTTAGGCTGATACAAAGAGTGATCTTTTCACTAGTCGACATTGTCAACTGATATCCCAACTGTTCACCCAAAAGAAGGAATTGTATCCTCCACTATCCAAACCATCCTTGTTATCAAATTGAGACTAATGCAACAAATTTCAACCAGAAAAATTTTGATGGATCGAGAGGTAAAGCTCGACAACCAAATGGTTCAGAAGGGAGACAAAACTCTTTTCAATCAACGTCGGAAGCCCCCAAGCTCCTGGGGATTGAAAACCCTAACGCATCAGTACCTGCGCCTTCCAAGCCGCTTCGGCCTCCTTCTTCTGCCGGCTGGCATTGGCGTCATCCTGAGTCAAGAATCGAAATAAGAAAGAATAAATCCTAAGACCAAGTGAGAAAACTACGCAAGGCTATCAAGAAAGTGAGAGGAACAGAGAAGGGAGTACGGGATCAGAAGAAGATCGGCTGAAACCCATTGGATCTGGAACGTCCACTGGCGAGGAAGAATACGAATTCTCGGCGAATTCCACAGCCCATCTCCGCGCTAATCCCTTCCCCTTCTCCATGTGTTCGCTCGACCCTCGAGAGATCGACAGATGCTCCACCTCGCTACTTGGAACGGCGAAGGCAGGTCAATGCTTTGAGATCTGTGAGAACCGTGATATCATGCCCTAAGGCATGTGACTTAGATCGAAAGTCCAGTCTGAACGGCTGATGATGGATAAGCGCGTACCGAGATGAATCTCAAATTGCACCCATCATGCGCCAATCAAGTGGGGGCGTGGATCTCAAAGTACGATGAGGCACGTCATCGACCAGCCTATATTTACCACAATGGCCAATCAAGCTGGAGACGAAAATGACAATTAAAAATCATTAAAATAGGGTACAAAATTTAGAAAATCATAGTAATTGAAAATTTTCCGTCGCTTAGTTTCACGTATATTTCTCTTTAGATAGTTCGTCATCTCTATTTCCATGCTCAAAAGCATATCCAATTCCATGTACACAAGAACAAAATTATAAAATGATTTATGATAATATTGCCTATTTTTCATTTTCTGCTACTTGAATTAAGGACCATGGCAAGAACAAGTGTTAGGTTAAATTGATTGTCTCTTTCCATGATTGTTTTTCCTGGAGGGTATTGACAAGCTATTTGAACATGGAAATCAGACAAAAAATCCATCACACCAAAAATACTTGGAAATTGGAGTCACCTCAAAATCATTAACACATAGATCAAGATGTGGAGCTGAAACAGGTACATTAAGAACAATGACGAAGCACGAGTTACATTATTATATATTTAAACAATAAGCACGATGCAAGAAAATTAAAAGCAAAATAAAGATAACAAAGAAATTGATCGATCCTTCTCTGTCACCACCAAACTCTCAGGTTGCATGTCGATTCACTTTGAGGTATGGTATGGTAAGAATACTTGGAAATTGTCGTCACCTCAAAATCATTTACGCATAGATCAAGATGGAGCTGAAACAATGACAAAGCACGAGTTACGTTATATATTTAAACAATAAGCACCGTGCAAGAAAATTGACAGAAAAAAAAGGAAAGCAAAGAAATTGATCGATCCTTTTCCATCACCAAGAAACCCTCAGGTCGCATGTCGATTCACTTTGAGGTATGGTAAGGCGCCAATCACGTTGTCATAATCGCTTTTGTTAACAGGATGCTGCAACCAAAAATTGGACAGATATCAGATGCATATCCACATTACTTGGGTGGTGTCAGCTATTTAAAGCATTAGGAGAATGGTACAATAGCGTGGATGGGCTGAACGAACAAAGAACAATGTTTGATTTCAAAGCATTTGTCAATGAAAATAAGATACTTATGAACAATTGTGAGCAGAATTAATTATCAGTAATTAATATAAGAAATAATGAAAACCTGTTGTTCTAAAAGAAAAGAGCCATATTGACAGCTTGAACCAGAACACAATGAAAGGTGAAAAGTAGGCAACATCCTAAAAGTCAACCTTAATCTTGATGAGACATGTAAACAAAACCGACGATCGGTGCAAAATTGTACCAGCATACACTTCAAGGTCAAAATAAAATTTGGGCAATAACTAGAGCCGAATGACTAGAAAAGCAACAGCTTTGAAATCAAATCACACGATGAATACCAAAAAGAGCAACTTAGTGTATCCCTGATCCCACAGATCGATGTCTATTAATGTAGGTTGCCAATTTCATCAAAAGATAATTGAAATTTTCTTTTAAAGTATCAAAACCTGAAGTTTTTTCCAAAAGGTGGGCATTCAAGCTCTGAGTTTAGTACACTCCCAATGAATCAAAGACAAAGGCCTGAAATTGCATTTCATGGTTAAATCAAGAAATTTAAAAAAGCAACCACAAAGGCACGACATTATTTGCACATCACATCACTTGTTATGATGATCTGATAATTTAATTCTGTTCATGCTATTACACATCATAGCACACAAAGATTGCAAGAAATGAGCCACATGAGACTTTGTCAAAATCACAACTGATAAGAACTCCTTGTCTTCAATGTCAAATTGGTCAAGAAATGTACTTCACATCTGCAAGTAGTTCCAAATTTTATCTCAACATAATGTGTTATCATCTACTTTTGATTTAATCACCAAAATCTAAGTTTTTTATATCTTTTGGGTAGTCGACAAGACAAATAGAGAAGAATTTTTCCAAGAATCTGCTGAATTAATGTGAAATAAGTTTATGTGAGACTACCAAAACATGGATAAAAACGAATTAACAATCACACGAGTACTATCTTTAGTATAGATGGACTGCGGAACCAAAATGTAATATGTCTAAAGCATTCTATCAAATGATGGCACGAATTTCCAAATCCAAATTCCAATAACGAAACTACAGTGCCGTCTTCAAAGCTCACTTTGTTGGATCCAAGTACGTCAATGGAAGATGGTAATTGCCAATACAAGATGCAAACAATCATGCGAGAAAAATGCCTCAAACGTCCATGGACGACGACAAGCACATCAAAAGCAAAACAAAACCTACTGGTGATTGGATAAAGAGATACCATTTTGGAAAGCCGGAGTTTCCTCTTGGTGTTCTTCTTCGCCAACAAGTGCTGCTTCCCAGCCCGTCTCCTCACAATTTTCCCTCTCCCCATCACACGGAATCGCTTCGCGGAAGCCTTCAAGCCCATTAAAGAAGGAAATTTTCCCGTCAGATGGATCAAAAAGGACCAGAAGACGTACAAGGACGGTACCTTGTGCGTCTTCATCTTGTAGCACTTTGCGGCGAAGACAGTGAGAGCGGAATGCTTCTGAGAAGAGGGGATTGGAAAGGGATCTCTGCGGAGTAGAAGAGGGGAACAAGACATGGCCGTGGATGAGCTGAGCTTGTTCTTGAGTGAGAGAGCCATGGGAGACACGAGCGGCGGACGCCATTGGAGAAACCAAGTGGCGGTGGGGAGACAGGAGACGACCTCACGAAGCAAAGAGAAGATGAGGCCATCTTCTGTGTTTTTTTGGCTCCGCGCAGACCCTTTTTCTACCTCACTACCGCACAAGGGTTTGCGAAAAGAGAATGGCTCAGACACACCAAAAGCTAGTGGATGGGACGAATGAATATATATATATATATATATATACACATTTTCTACCTTATTAAAGACTTTTTTTGTTTTCTATTGTAGGATTAACATTTTAACAAATGGCATAGCATCAATCTCCTCCTAACCTTGTACAATCCAATAAAGACCTGCATAGGTAAAACACATGTTGATTAGGAGCAAATATTAAAGAACATTTGTTACTTTGTGGAAACATGAATACTTAGATTCCATAAACACTTTATTAGCAAGGTAAAGTACTCCAAAGAATTGCGTGACAAAAAATCTAAGGCCCATCCATGGTTCGTAAAATCCACAGTATATATAGATTGATGTTTCAGTGTAGTTCCTTCTCCATGAGCTGATGACGATGGGAAAAGTACCAAGGTCCAAAACAAGGAAACTTCAGACCACCACATCAAAAGCATTGTGAGAAGAGAGCAAAGAATTTCTAGATTGGCAGTGACATTAGCAAAATACCAATAATGAACAGAACTGACTGGCTCGTTGTCATTGTGAATCAACAATGTGATCTAAATCAAGATACAATGGGTATAGCTTGATTGTTTTACATAAGCCTGCAAGTGATGACAGCATGATCTGTTAGTTAGAAGACAGCAATGGTGCAATAGCATCATTCCAGTGGACTGGTCGGCAGCATCCTCCGTTACCCAAAGCTTGCCAACAATCTCCTTCCTCCGATGATACAGAATTCTCCTACAATTCAACCCGACAGGTTATGCAATAATGCTCTCTCTTGGGCGCATCAAGATGCCTATAGTTTCCCACTCCAAACTGCAAACAACGTCCTGTAGACGCAAGTCAAATGGGTGAATTTTAAGAACATGTAAAACATGAGAATTGCGCAACTGAAATTTGAAGGGTAGCAAAAGTTTTCCATTTGGTCAAACTCACAGATGGGTTTTGAGGATCAATATCAAAAGCATTGATGGCACAGGGCTCTATTAGTAGTTCTGTTGGTTCTTCACCTGTGACACCAGAAACCATCAGGTTTTTCTGCCCACAATTATAGAATAAAGCAAACTGGATTAGAGGAACCTTTATTCTAGTTAATAGTGTTTCATTAAGCAGCATAGATCATACAAAAGGAACCTTAGGTACCCAAAGTAAAGCAACAGGAAATTTAAGAAAATAAAAGAATTACATGAACACTGAAAGTATGCTCAAACCTCACGACAGCACACACCGGCCACATCAATGGATTCACTATCTACAGTTACACTTTCATAAACCTGCCAAGAGAAACTTGGGTCTCAAAGAATAGAAGGCTTCAGACTGGGCATTGACGAGGGATGACGTTCCATGAGGTGATGATCTTAAACTCATCATCAAGCTATGCACCTTTAAGTCTAAATCACACTTCATTTTGAATAAATATTACTATCAAAAAGCTCACTGATTCTTAGATCTCTACTAGGAATCAAAACCTCCCAAAGTTAGTCCCTGCAGTTCTCATGACTTACGGAAAAGAAAAAAAAAACTTCCTAATAGTTGAAATGATCCAGCATTCCTCCTCGAGAATCTCTCAGTAAGCATATAGTTAAGACAGTAACTCTTAAGACACTAGGTCAAGGAAAATTTTCTTTTTCTGTTTTTTAAATGCAATTTATTATTAGAGTAGCAATAATATGGAAAGAGAGGGCTACAGAATGGCAGGAACATATAATTCCAGAATATCCACGGTAATCAGTAGTCAGTTTTAGTGCCTAAGGAGAAGTGATTATGCATTATTTATGTGAATAATAAAAGGTATGACAGATGATCACAGAAGACTGCTAATTCTTAAGGTGCTTAGTTTCTGCATGTATAAATTGAATTGGTCAGACTGATAAAAACACAATAGTACTGCCTAGCAAGATTTTAAGGAATAATAATTCAGATAAGAAAAATATATCAGCCATAGCAGAGAACTTATTAGCATTGTTAAGTGAAAAAAGGTCAAAAATAAAAAATTTAAAACAACAAATGGACCTGGCAAACTCATATTTAGACAAACACATAATAGCAACCAATCAATTATAGGAATCGAAGCAACCAGTTTCATGTCTAGATCTTCATGGAAAATTCTACTTAATGTTAAGTAACATTTTGATCATCATAAGAGGAAGCAAACCTTGTTCAAGAACAGCGAGGATTCCATCTTCTGAACATATCATGACAGGTAATATCTTTGCAGATGCAGCCGAGGTAACACTTGAAGACCGAGAGTGACCATCATACTGGACCTCCCAGACCTCACTCTCTGAGACAGATACTCGTCTTCCATCATGACCTACCCCAGACAGAAGGATTGGTTGCTGTTGATAACGAAGATCCCAGGCAAATATAGTACCAGATGAGCCCCCGACCTTCAAAATAATTAGAGAGATTGCTTGTTAAAATGTATTGCAGAAAACTTTGGAGTTAATTAGAATAAATTCAGTTCAGAAAAATCAATACATAAACAAAACCTACTAGCAGTACCAGTGAAATATTATCTGCGAGGTGCTTTCAGTGAGAGAAGCATGCTTAAGGCAGACATGGACATACTTTGACAGTTCATCTTAAAATTTATATCTGCTAACCTTATTTCCAAGACTGACCCAGGTGACTGCATAATTTACAGTGTATGCACGAAACATCTGACACATGCATATGCATACGCGGTTTGGTCATGCACTGAGCCCACACACGGTCAGCGTAATGGATTCTATTTGAAATTGTCTGCATTGGTCCTATCCAGAAGTCATATATAAGTGAACCAAGGTATTTAGATAGGTCAAGTGAGGGCAAGATATACCAATGGCCAATCAATATAATCTGGAACCTAAATCTTCTCCTAATCTCTCCCACTCTTCTTATGGCGGCATCAAATAGCAGCATCTGTTCCTGTTCCTTTTCTTTTCTCCACCTTCATTTGCCACTATCAAATCCTCCATCTTTTTCCTATAATGTATGTGTTTGCCCTTGTGGGTTCATTTCCTTCACAGTTCACAGAAATGTGCTAACCATTCTATATATATTTTTCACTTTTATAAAGATCTAATGCACATTTGAGATACAGCCACCTGAGTGCCATTAAAAGGTTTTCACATTCCAAAACCTAGCCTTTAATGCTTTTAAAAAAGGACAATTTAAAGTACATTCCAAGACCCTTCATGAATAAAACTTTTTGTATCATATTTGCGCCTTCCAGAAGGTGTAGATGTGCACTTTTCACCACCCATCCTTTTGTGCTATATAGAAAATGAGTCCATCTTGCCTTGAGAAGCAGATTAAAATGAGAAAACAAGCAATTGTAACTTAGACGGCTAGGTCTACCTCCTATTCACCTTAATGAGGCAATCAATAATGGTTCAATTTTAAGGAACTGGAAAGGAATTCCAGTTTGGACCTCATATCACACTCAAGCAAAAGTACAAATGCACCAAATTGTGAAAAGCATATCTAAGGGGAAATTTGATAAAAAAAATCTGCAGATTTCACCTTTGATGGCCTTCAAAAATCAAAACATTTAGTCATTAAAATAAGCTTTGACACGTAAGCTTGTATCTAAAAAATTAATAGCAGAGTGTAAGCCATCTCACCATGCATATATGCTTACGTGATGGATGAATATCTATGGAATGCACTATACCAGTAGCTTTGTCTTGTGCCCTGCATAGGATAATAAACTTAACATATATAGCTAAAAGAATGTACAAATATCACTTGCTTGTAAAAGGTAGAAAATTCAGGTTCAATGGCAAATACAGAATTACTGTAAAATATTGAATAACAGTGTCTGAGTTTATAGTACCAATCCTCGCAGAAAGATGGAGTCATTAGTCCTTTTATTTCATTAACCAGTTGACAAGATACCAAAATAGCAGACAACCCCAAATACTTGGGACATTACAGCCTGTTCTCCTTTTGGTAATAGTATTGACAATACATCAAAATCACTGTGGTTAGTGGTTGCAGTGTGCCTCTCTACAATTTTTTTTGGAGAGAACTAGCTCTGCATCTTAACCCTACAAATTTTAAACTGTTTTCTGCTAAAATAGACTATAACATAAATTTTCGCTTGAGCATGTGCTATATATCTACATTGTTCCAAATAATCAAACTAAATCGTCAAATCTCAATGCAAACACATTGATTGCATCACAAGGATACAAACCAATGACATCTTGAGCTACGCCATGAGTAATTACGAGTAAAAGAACAAATACACCTAAAAAGGGATTTCTTTGTGTCAGAGAGGTAAACAGCAAGTCTCACCAGTTACACTTTAACTGAGACACCAAACCGCCGGGCTTCCTCTGATCCCACCACTGGACCCCAAACCCCAGACCACCAGTCGCGAACTCCATTGGCGACCCCCACCTAGCCGCGGTGTAGGACACGAGACCCCGGCTATCGTACACCCTCCTATAGTCGAGCCTGGCCTCCCCTATGGTCACCATATTCACCCTGCCGTCCTCCCCTGCGGTGATGCACTCCCTCCCGCCCTCCAGGAGATCGACGGCCGAAACTAGTCCCGCGTGCAGCGATCGATCAGCGATGGAAAGCTCGGAGTCGATGGACCCGTCGACGGGATCCACGAAGAGGACGTGAAGAGAACCGGAGAGGGTAGCGGCGGCGACGGCGAGGTGCTTGTGGGGGGTCGGGGAGGATCGGAGTGCCGATATCCGGGAAGGGGAGGGCCAAGAGGAGCGGACGTGGAGACTCGGCTCACCGATGCTCGGGGAGAGGGGGGAGGTGGCTAGGGTTAAGGAGTGGATCTCAATGGCGGCGGCCGCAGCCGAGGAGCTGGCGTCCGGGTCATGGACGGCGGCGGCAACGAAGCGGTCGAAGGCGGAGACGGCAGAGAGCCATCGGACGGCGTCAATCGACTTCGATTGCGGGAAGCGATGGAAGTACTCGCCGGTTTCCGCCATGACGCCCTCTCTGTTGGGTTCAAAGCTTAACCTGCGAGCATTTTAAGTGGCAGGAGAAATAGTTTTTGTACTCCTTTATGCTTTACCCGCTCTGATACCTTCCTTGTGATTCGCTTCTGAGAAATCGAAAACGGTGGGAGGTCCGATGCGTCCGTGCCTATTCAATTTCTGGGGCTGGGGGCCCACTAATCACCAGGGAGAGCACGAATCATAACGTTTAATCAGGAACCAGGGCGGATCTACGCAGATCAAGTGCTTTATACTTCGTGTGACGTCTTGGAAACACGGCATCGCACCGCAAGCACCGCGCCCCAACCCTAAAAAGTTGCGTTGGGAAGGGCTTCGCGATTCCCTCTATGCTTCTCTCCGTCGTCTTCTTCCGTATGTAGTTTGCGATGAGGGCGGTAACTGGAACCGTGATCTCCTCGAAGCGTATCTCCCTCTCGAAGGCCTCCGCTGTCGTCTCCCGCTTCGCTGCCAACCAGAACGCCGCCCGCCCGGAGGTGGCAGCTTACGTCCGCCGCACCTCCGCGGCCTTCGACGAGCTCGTCCGCTTCCACCGCGAGATTCGAGCCGCTCGCAAAGGATCAGATATCGAGAAGCCGATCGCGAAGGAGGGGGAGGCGGAGGAGGAGCTGAAGAAGAACAAGAGTAGGAAGAGGAGCAGAGATGAACCCGAATTTGTCAATGACGGAACCCTAAGAGTTGGAGGCTATAAAGAGGTCGAGGATGGAGGTAGAGATCGTCGTGGGGGCGGGGTTGGGAGTGATGGGGAGGGAGAGAAAAAGAAGAGGAGGAAGAAGGCCGATGAGGAAAGGGGCTACGTTGCTATAAAGGATGAGAAAGTTCCGGTGAGCAATGGGAATTTGGTGGAACCAGGGAGGGATTATGGAGATGGAGCAGAGTTACGGAAAGATGGGAAGAGAAGAAAGAAGAAGATGAAGGTCGATGTGAGGGAAACAAGCAGTCCTGGCAGGAAAGTTAAGCAAGAACCAGAGATGGAGGAAGAAAGACATCGGCACAGGAAGAAGAAAGAAAAGGAGAATCGCAAAGGAGATCAGAAAGAGGAAATTCCTGCAGGAGTTGTAGATCGAAAACATAGAAAATCTTTAGATGTTGGAGAAGATTTAGGGGTTTTGAAGGATGAACAGCATAAGAAGAAAAAGAAGAAAAATAGACCCGAAGATTAGCAAAGATGTAATCTTCGAGTCACTTCAATGGGGGCTAATTAATAGTTGAATTTAGAAGGCACACAATCGTAAATTCGTAATTGTTATCTCATCTGAAATTAAAAGGGGAATTGGACTTTTGAGTTCTGATTTGATGCATCCAGAACGGCAAGCCTGGAGTGGAGACAGATTAGGTTCCGTCATAAGGTAATCTTGACATCACATGCTAGCTTTTTTAATATCTTAGCAATTGTATCATCATAGGACTTGTCTGATGGAATTTTGATCATAATGCTTTTGTCTTGTTACAATCTAGTTTATATTTCAGCTTGCAGTTAACTGTGACTTAAGAGGTTCGTTGCTTGATATGTGCACATAGCCATGTTGGTTCTATATATAGTATGGCTTTCTGGTTAATTTTTTAGTTCATGGTCCTTTTATTGTTCATTATAACCATGTGCTTGAGGGATTCCTTTGGTAGAAAATATTTGAAATGCATAGTGTATGAACAATCTGGTGTGTGGTTGTTAGCTTAAAAATTTGAATTGCATAGAATTTCAATCTTATATCACTATTTGATTGTTAGCTTGCATCGGGAAGAGAATTTGATTCACCAAAATTAATTCAACATTGTTATAACAGAGCATCTTAAAACTTCCCAGTGTGTATACTATTGACTAAATAGAATATCGTAGTAATTGTTCTTCTCCCCTTTTAAGAGCATCTCATCTATCTTTGCCATCATAACTCCGTATGGTAGAGATAACTTCCAAATGCTGCTGTCGGTGATCCAAATAGCTCTCGATTTAATAGGATAAGCATTTCATGATACTGTAACTGGATTTTACCTATGAAATTTTAGTTATTGTTTCCTTTTGAATTCAAGTTTTTATATTCATAGGGTTTTGATGGATATGACGATTCATGCCAATCAATGGAATCTTAACCTCTTTTTTTAAATATCAGACAATAAGATGAATTTGAAATAGTAGTTAGCATTCTGATCATAAAGCATGATGACTAGAATATGTATGAGTGTGAGATATCAAAATATATAAAGCATGATGACTACAACATTCTGATCATTAAAGATCCTGATTACCTCTCTAAATAGCATCTAAAGACTCCTTGATCTTACATAAATACTTATAATATCCATGGTTGGATATCCACATATTCTGAAGAATGTCTAGAAACCATAAAACAATTCTTTTGTCTTTGCCCTCTCTTTATGTTCTAATTTATAGCTTTTGAAAAAAAGATTTATCTAGATGCTTTAAGATTATATAACTATGTTTTTCCATGATATTAAATCAGAAACTCCTCTAATCTTGGAAACATCATGGTGCCCTGATTCCTACATCTGGCAAATCCTAGATATATGCCATTGCTGGTTGAAGTTATGCCTGAGCTAGCTGTCTCAGCCAACATGAAGTCTTTGAGCCTACTTGTATTGCCATTGATGATATTTGTGGAACCCTATGGCGGCAGGTCTTAGAAATTCCATGTTGTGTGGCTGTCAACCTTTGTTCTAGCAATTGATAGGTAGCAACTCTTGTGGTCTATTTATATTGATCTCTGTTGCTGAACTCTGGGATCATATACTCGAGTTCTAAGAATCCCCATGTTATTGTTACCTGATGTCCTAATCCGGAAGTTGCTGCCAACTGCCTTTTTCGTAAACACTCCAAACCTTTGGTGTTTCAGAAGTAGTTATTGAATATAGTCGCACAGTGAACGTTGAGTCTTAGCTTTGATGTCATATAGTACTTTACAGCTACTGAAACTTTCTCTATAATGAGGCTTCCTAGCTGCAGCCAGAATAGATTCCACATCTTAGTTGTTTGCTGCACATTGAATGACATGTAACCGACTCTTTAGTCTTCACCTGGTTTTCACTGGTCCGTATATAAACTACAGTGTCAGCCAGTGTGGATTCTCTTCTCTTTTTTCCATTAGATGCCTTTTTAATAAATTGAAAAAAATAATGAAGTCTTTTTTGCTCTTAATTCTTGAAAAGTGTTTTTGAAATAAATTATATTTGAAAAGCATGACTTCCTAAAGTAAATATTTCACTTTTGTGTTTTTTTAAAGGAAATACATCACTGCATAGAAACAAAATTTAAATTATGAACGGATAAAAAGGCCTGATTCAAAGTTCATCCCAAGGGCCATGTCCCAAAAAAATTTCCTTGTGGGTTTTTTTTTCCTTGAAAGGTGCTTTGTTTTTATTTTTCCTATAGTATTCTTGAAATGCCAGTTGTCATCCATTTCCCTTTGCCTTTGCCCTCGTCTACCACTATCGTTGTACCTTCGTTTGTTACCTCCACTCTTTGTCCTCATCCATTATCTTAAGTGTGCATTCGTTTGGTATCATGTATGACTCTCAACCATCGTGGATGCCTTTACCCATGTCTATCGTTGTCGAGGCATTGTCAAGGCTTCGCTGCGAGGTACTCACCCTCCTCGCCCCATCATTAGGACCTTAATGAAGGTGTTAAGAGGGTCAAGATAACAACATAGGGTGTCCATATGAGGGTGCAATGATAGTGATGAACGAGGACAAGCGATGGTCAATGGAGTATTATAAAAGTAAAAACAAGGGTAGCTTCTAAAAAAACCTAAATAAGGATTATTTTTTTTCAAAAAAAATTCGCCCAAGTTCCATTCACAAAAAAGAATGTAATGAATTATTCATCAATAAGAACTTCATTTTTAACAAGTCAGGTAGCAAAAAGATTACAATCATGAGTATCTCTTTTAGCAGACTCGATCAATAGCGTGAAAAATTAAGGATTATGCAGGAAGAATCATGGGTTGCCTCCAAAATTTAGATCACATCGTTTAGAAGCAATGTGTGGTCAGAAGAATTTTATTTTCCCGTCGCGCAAAACATTAGACCGGCAAAGTGCCTTTTCAGCTCCTGACATCCCGGCGCAGGAATCTGTAGCCCCCAAAGTAATTGCAAAGTATAGATAGATGGTGCACAAGACTGCCAACAGAGATAGCATCGTCAAGAGGAACCTGTGACGCTGAAGAACAGTAGACCAACTACCCAACTCAACATGACCTGACGCCTGCTGCTTGGATGGTGATGGCGACAAATTTGTGCTCTGAGACCTCCTATGTGGGGATGACAATGATTCGAGAGCCATCACGGTTTAGATTAATCCGAACCAGTTTAGGCCCTGAAAGACAAAAAAACACACGGCGGCCAGACAGCGAGAGAGAGAGAGTCGTAAGCAGTATATTTTCAGAACAGCTCTTGGACAAAACATTCAAGAAATGTTGATAAATGGAAGAGGAGAGGATACTTTGCCGTTTACAATTGCATTGCAACAAATAAGATCACATTGTTCTTGACAAAAAGGATAACAAAATCTCGGGTAAAAGATGTAAATTACTAACTTTATATCAGTTTCTAGGAATAACACACAAGGATACATGCAACAATCTTTGCAGTACATGTGAACCTTATTGACTTAGAGAATGTAAAGTTCAAATAGAAAAGACACTTCGATCAGGTGAAAGTTTTGGCATGCTTAATGTTTTTATTAGTGGCCCTATTGGGTCTTTATTTGCATAACAGTTAAATAACACTGCTAGGGAATTGGAAATGTTGATATAGAGACAAAGCTTTTACAGAGACTTGACAATCAAATTGCAGAAAATGAAAGTCTAAATGTAAGTTCATATCTGCTTTTGCCGTATGGATGCTAAAGTTGTATCCTTAGCTAAACATATATCATGGACAATATTAATTTTCTCAGACAAGTGTTTGCTTATTTTAATTCCAGTAAACAGGGAAAGAAGGTATAATAAAAGAGATCTCTATGCTTTGGTGCATTTCATGAATTCTTCAGGCAGAATAGAATAAAAACCAAGTGTTCTACTTCCTGCCAGCTAGCCATCGAGGTACTCGACAGTCTCTGGACTCTCTGTATGATCTTAGCAATGGACGGTCTGCCAAACCTCGACCGAGCCTTGGGTTCAACAGACACCCTCCATGGCATCAGGTTAATAGACAGCTAACCTAGACCTGATCAGTCTTTCACAGCGAATCCTTCTCCGTGGTTATGATGCAAACAAGTTATTTTCGCATTTCAGATATAACATAATTACATATTTTTTATGCTTACAGTATCATAGTCTAAGTTTTAAGATCAAATGCATTAGATCTGTTAATTTATTTACGATGCATAGATTATCTTTATTCTTCCAGAATTATTAAGCAGCAATGGTCACCGTCGAACTCGCTGCGAATTTACGGCCACACTGGGCAACGTGCGCATCGCAGCGCATAAAGCCACCGTACGCGAGCATCACAGTGCCCATGGGACGGCCGGCCGCACGCGGGTGGAACTTGTCCATGCGACGGCCGCACGCAGGCAGAGATCCCCGGCGGCGACCGTGCGCGTGGGTAGGCCACGCCCATGCGACAGCGCCGTGGTAGCAGCGGCCACACGCAGGCTAAAACTATCGCAGGCAGTCGCTCACACAGGCAGCCGCACCGTAGGCAGCAGCGGCAACGCCGCACGTGCAAGCGGTGGCGACGACGAAGGCAGATTAGGGTTTTGGCATAATTACGATTTTGCCCTCGAGGCTATGTTTTGCAAAATTATTGTTTTGCCATTTGCAAATTTCGTAATTTCAATTTATGTTATGTCAACGTATTTACAGTTTTACCCTCAGGTCTAATTTCTGCCAAATTACAGTTTTGTCATTCATAAATAGCATATTTTCAATTTATATCTTTTCAAATATTTACGATTTTATCATAATTGAGAAATTTAGTTTATATTCTCAATTATAAAATTGATAAATATGATTTATTATAATTATGATTAATTTTAATCATGATTATATTTTTGATTATTTGATTGGATTTAATTTTGATTTTAAAAAAACTATAAATTATGATTTACTTTATAGTTTTCTCATATGAATTATTGATTATACATGTAGTAAATAAATTAAAATCTAATTATTGTTTTTAAAATTTTATTTACTTATTCACATGTATATATATGAAATTGTGAATTAATGTTTACCATTCACATGAAGGCATGATTTATATGTTATCATGATTATCATATGAATTTTCTTACTGATTAATATTCAATAATTATTATTATTATTTATTATTAAACTGCTTAGCATTAATATCCAATAATTATTATTATTTATTATTGAATTGTTTAGCATTAATATTCAATAATAATAATAATTATTTATTATTAAACTACTTAGCATTAATATTTAATAATTATTATTGTTATTTATTATTGAACTACTTAGCAAAAATTAAAGAAATTGATGAATATTATTTGTAATCTATCTCGCTAAATTTTATCTGACTAGTAGCTGCCAAAGTGGCTTGGGATGATAGACTTTTGTGATATAAATTATAATAAAAATTTTATCATTTATAGAATATTTTATATTTTATTTTATATTATTGTATTAGTCTTGTAGCCACCAAAGTGACCTGGACTAATGACTTATAAAATAATATTAAGAAATTAGTCCTAAATGATATTAAAGAAATAATATTCATAATGGCATATATAATTATGAGATTTAGATAATCACAAAGGAGAATCTAATTCAAATAATTATGTGATGGGTTAGGATGATACTGTTTTAGATATCCTTACATTTTAGGGTTGTATACCCAAATGTAATAATACTATTCCATAAGGATAGTATCAGTCTTCCATAAATATTCTTGAGTGAACACTAGATATGTCAATATTTCACCCAAAGATGTAATATAGATGATATCAATAGTTCATCAATTTTTGACAAACTCAAAGCATTAATGTTGTTCTATATTTTTTTGCAGTGATACTTCCGCATATACATTCTTATGCATTAATATAGATGATTTAGCATTCTTGTTGAAAAGCCTACAGACTTGACTGATGAAAGTATTGTAGAATAAGTTAATGAAATAAAAGCTTGGGAAAGATCTGATAGACTTAATTTAATGTTCATAAGAATGATAATTGCAAATAACATAAAGACTTCATTATCGATTACAACTAGCACAAAGGAATATTTAAAGGTTATTAAAGACAGATTTAAATCTACTGATAAGTCATTGACTAGCATATTAATAAAAGAACTGACTACGGCTCAGTATAATGGCACTCGAGGAATTCAAGATCACATCCTCAATATGGCTGACAAAGCTGCAAAACTTAAAACATTAGGCATGAATGTTAATGCGTCTTTCCTCGTGCAATTTATTCTCAATTCTCTTCCTTCTCAGTTTGACCCATTCAAGATTCATTACAATACAAATAACGATAATGTTGAATCTCGGATTTTGATGATGAAACTAATTGATTGTGTTTAGATGTTTAAAAGCATTTTGAGTGATGCAGGTCTACTCGATCAGGATTAGACAGTTAACGCAGGAGGAATTGACGTTGCGCCGGAGGAGATCACATTAGGATATTGGATGGCAGAAGGCTTCGGACGTCGGGCATCAGGCCAAGAGCGGAATTGCGCCAAGGATATCGGGGTTGTGGAGGTCAACCGTCGATTGGGCAACAAGCCGCAAGAGAGGACGATGCGCCGAAGAATCGGACGAAGCGCCAACCAATGACGTGCCGGGCAACAAAATGTCAATTCGCTTTGTAATAATTGTCTAGATCAGAGTAGAGTTTTGGCTTGTG